AAACCATCGAACTTATCCTTATTGTCAGTCTGCGGATTTTTATGCATTTATAATTACACAAAATACGTACGACACGAAAAATATCCAAAGTGTAATATACCTTTGTCTAACGTGTGTAATACATTTTATCTCGTATATTATCGTACGTACAATTATCTTTTTTTATCGAAATTCTACTTTTTAAATTTATGTTTTCAAAAATATGAATTTATCTAAAGATCCACAGACTAATTATAAACATCAGCAACTGTAAAAATCTGTTTAATAAAGTCGATATTAACCTGTTAAAGACCATTAAATTGCATCAAGGCAACGTTTCATTTACGACTTTTCCGAAATCAGTTAATATCTCAATCAGAGATCTCTATATTTTAATATTCAGGTCGTGAAACGAAATTCTATCTAGATCTTTCACGAGACGTAAAATTTTTTGAAGAACAAAATTCCATCCAGATTCTATAAACGTGCGACAGTGATAAATTATTGTTCGGGCAATAAAAAAAAATCTACGCGGTTATTGATTCGGTTTACGCTGCCCGTTATGAATCCGCTACTGTTTCAGAGATCCTTTTGAACGAAACCGTTCGAACGCTCGTTCGTTTCCGGGATCGACAATGGAGAGCGATGCGATTCAATACGCGTCAAACGTGACTTTGTTCCACGTATATGGTTGATTGTCAATTGCGTTGTTGCGGCGATAATTGAGCCAGGAATATAGGCTAGTTATCAAGGAGAAATATTACCTCGGTTCTGTCGGATCGCCGGAACTTTACGCTGCACGCGCACCAAAGAAACACGCGTGCGGAACGCCACGCTCTGACCTAATCTGATACTCTCTGATATTACAATTTGCCTCGTGACGTTAATGAAGGAATGCATTAGGCATTTTCGTGGCCGATGCCTCCTGTTTTCCACGTAATAAAATTGCGAGAATTACTTCTTTAATTCTCCTTCGCTCGCGGCAACTGGTTCGAATTCGCGGACCATAACGAGTGACCGTACATAATAATTCGCCGCTTTCTTTTTCTTCTGAACTCGTCGGTATGGTATCCGACATTGATAGAAATTACCAAGAAGTGATAAACTTATCGTTTGTTTCGCCTGGGCTACATTTAAATACACTTGAAACTGAGAAATTGTTGATATAACAAAATAACGTTGATAATAAAGAATATTTAATATAATTCAGGAATTAATTTAATTTTATAAAACTTAATTGAGGGAGAGGCAAGGACAACATCTCCTAGGTTAAATAAATTCAACATACATCTTTTTAAAATCGATACATCTGTTTAAAATCGTTTAATGCGTTAAAAGAAATATATGATTTCATTTAAGAAGGGATGATTTTAAGATCTCAGAAACATTTGCTGGCCATAACATATCCTTCTTGATACAGAATATTATTTTTTTTTTAAACAGTAAATAATAGCGTAGCATCTGTTGTGTAAATTTCTTAACTTTTTTCTTTTATAATTTAACGAAACGAAGGTTCATTTTAATATGGCATTGTTTTCTCTCATGATAAAATTATCGTTTGGCTTCTAATATATCAAAGAGGTGACATTTTTTGTACACAGCTCAGAAACTGTAGTTACTGAAACTTCTTAATTTCTTTCTATAATAAATGATAGTTTAACGAAGCAAATGTTCATTTTACTTTGACATGGCATTGTATTATATTATGGTGAATCATTTGGTCTCTAACATGTCAAGAAGGTGACATTTTTGTCCACGGTCCTGCTTCAACGCAATCAGCAACCATAGTTACGTGTATAATTTCTCAAGCTGTCCACGGAATATTGTCCAGCAACGATTCTAAGGCTAGGATCAATGCTCCGCTTAGAAATGGGAATTCTCCCTCTGGTTGCTGGCATTCTGTCATTCATTTACAAAAAGCGTTCTCACTCGATTGTTCGCTCGAATCGATCCTTTCTTTCTTTCTTTCGTTCGCGAGATCTCCGATTTCCGGTGTATTTCCCCGTACGACCCCTCAGCGAAAAAGCTAGGTAGCCGATCTCGCGGAAAAAGCATCACGCGACGAGTTTACACGGCCGCTTTCGCTTCTATATATCGCACCGTTCGTTTCAATTTTAATATATCCAGGCGGACACGATCCCGACAGTACGGCTTTTAATTACCGCTCTTCCGCTTCTCGTAATTGACACACGATTGTGTCTACTCGTCGCCTCTCTGTCCCCTCGCCGTTCCACTCCCTGATAGCCCGATGGAAACGAAAATTATACGCGTATCCTCCCCTTGCGTTTTTAATAGGATATAAAGGTACCAGGGACGCGAGAGCTTTTCCAACCGGCTACCGATTTTTTTTATTAACAGAGAGGAACCTTTTTTCCACTCGATGTTGATCAGCGCTGAAACAGACCGACCCTGTCCTCTCGTCTCGTATATCTTTCATCGTATTAACTCGCGACGATTGCAAGCAGCGCATTCGCGAAGATCGTAGAGATACATTTTGTAACTTGGGATCCTCTATCGTTCGAAATTAAGAATTTCTGATCTTTCTCTGATTGTCAATATAGTGTGAAATTAGGCAGGTTTTGTTTTGCATTCCCAGATTTTGTTCTTTTCGACCAAATGTTATATAATGTATTCTGTACGTCGAAATAAGAAAGAAAAAATGTCATTGGAAACATTATAAAGAAGTTATAACGAAAAGACAGTATGACGAAATGAGCGGTAACGAACATCAACAAATATGAATCATGAATATTGATACAATATATGAATAGATTAGAGATATAAGATGATACGTCATTTAAATAATCATCTTGGCATAATAATAAGTTCATTTACATAATCTTCTGCATGCTAAATAATAACTAAGCTGTCCAGAAGCCAGACGCATCAACTCTATTTTTTGAAAAATAATTACAATAAGTATGTGATTGATGGCCAACTTTTTAGAAACTAAGCAATTTGCTTTTTGGCCAATCTGGCATTTGCAATTTCATGGAAAGGCGTCGTATTAGATTAGTAATAAACTAATATCAAATATCAGTTTTTGTTTTAAAGAAAATCAGTTTTAAACCTCATCGCAAGTTACGACAGTTTCTATTTCTTATTATCACAGTAGAATGAGAATCAATATTCAGACGCGTAAGTACTTGGTTCGTCAATTCAAGAATTGAATTAAAACCATTAAATGTTTTTAATGTTTTGTATATATTATTATATATTATCATTTTTATTCTTCTGTTGTCATATTTTTCATTGTCATTGTTATATATATCATTTTTAATAAAATTGAAGTGTCTGAATTGCATTACATTTTATAATCTAATTATAAATTGTCAAATGAGACGAATACTGCTTATAATTAAATATTGCAACATTACACACGTGCATATTAATAATTTATACACTATTATACATGATATTTTGCTATATTGCCTACTCTTGGTTTGTCAATTCAACAATTGAATTAAAACCATTAAATGTTTTTAATGTTTTGTATATATTATTATATATTATCATTTTTATTCTTCTGTTGTCATATTTTTCATTGTCATTGTTATATATATCATTTTTAATAAAATTGAAGTGTCTGAATTGCATTACATTTTATAATCTAATTATAAATTGTCAAATGAGACGAATAC